GTCATATTATATACTAACATCGTGTCTAATGTAGTACCGGTTTCAGGTGCACTTGAATTTTGATAAATAATACCACCATATATCTATTAAATAATATATAGTAAAATATCAGAAATTTAAAATAAAGTAAAGTAAGGAATTTTTTTTTTTTTTTTTACCAATACTACATCTGATCCAGGAGGCTGGACTCCGGCCGCACGAAGTCGGGTTTTTGTCAAATTAGTAGATGTTACAACGGGACTTTCAAATTTAAATCGGGCAAAATTAAAAGGAATGATAGATATCTGGTTATCCTCAAGATAATCATTATAGCTTAACACAATAATGTGCATAAAATCGCCGATAACCCCTACTACTGAATGAGTAAAATTGAAGGGAAGCTGATAGCTCGGTTGAATAATACGTGATTCCGTAATATTATAAATATACGATAAATCGCTTGGGGCTCCTTCGAATCTAGGGGCTACATAAAATATTCTATCTATACCACCGAAAATAAACACGCACTCTCTTGAACGAGCAATTCCAACACAATTCAGAATGTTTGACGACTATTTAATTGTATAAAGAAGTTATTTACCATGTCATGTTGATGTTGAAATTTTGCTGATGCTGAAGCTAAAATAACACTAAATGATTAGGGCTTCCAGAAATTACATAATTTTTTGTTACTAATAAATTTCAAAATTTTACCCAACCACCCCACCTGATACACTATCAACCAATCAAATTTATGTTTTTTTTATTAATAATTATATAAATTTTAATGTCAAATAACTTTTGATGCACTGAGTCAATTTGGACCAAAATGATTCTCTCAAAAAGAGGATTCTAACAAGCCTAGAATCATAAAAACCCAATCACAGGATCCCAATATCGAACTAGATTTATGTATTATTATATATTACCGTATTTTCGCGAAATAACGCGCAGGGGTGTAATTTCAAATTTTGGCCCAAATTAAGCTTAATTCGGGCCATTGTTCTAAATAATGCTCATGAGCGT